ATAAATAAAGTAATGGGAAAAAATAACGCGAACAAGAAGAACAGGAAGACGAATAATAAGATAAAAATAACAAAATAAAGAAGATGAAGAACAAGAAAAAAACGAAAAAGAATTTAAGAATCAGTGAAAAAATCGATGAAGAAAAAAGTATAACGAGAGAACGTGTTAAAAATCCGCATAATTTCAAAGTTTTTTTCAATACCACATTTTACCATTCTAAATCCCTTTTTATTCCCTCTCTGTTCCAAATCATCATTTTGCTCAATTCCAGATCCTCTTTTGCCTCAATTCCAATTTCTCTTCCCCCCTTATCCCACTCACCCCCCCCCCAAAAAAAAAGGATATGTGAATGATGAATAGATGAAAATAAATAAATTATAAATAGATTAATGGAATAACTAGATTGATGGATCCACTAATAAAATAAACAAATAAATACCACAGAATAAATAAACAAACAGACAAATAAGATAAGTAATGCATAAATAAAAAAGAATAATAAAAATGAATAACCGCCAACACCTTCTTCTCATTTTCTTTCAGTTCCTAGTCGACGAGAAAACGGGAATCATCCGCGTAGGTCGGACCAACTTCGCAAACAAGTGGGAATTCAACTTCCAGGCGGTGGCTTTCGACCTGGGGAAGCAGAGCAGCAGGGTTCCGGTCACGGTCGAAATCATAGGTAAGTTCTGAGGGAAAGGGAGGGAGGAAAGGACGGAGGGAGAAGGGGGGGATTGGAAAAGAAGGGGTGGGGAACGGGGAAGGTTGGGAAGAGTAGGGGTGTGGAGGGAAGTGGGGAGGGAAAGGGAGGGAAGGAGGGAGAAGGGTGGGGAGGGTGGGGGGAAGGGAGAAGGGGGTGGGATGGAAGAGGGGGGGAGGGAAGGGGGGGAGGAAAAGGGAAGGGGGTAGGTGGAGAGAAAGGTGGGAAGAGAAGGGGTGGAGGTGGGGAGGGAGATAGGATATATATAGAGAGAGTGAAGAGCGAGAGAGAAGAAAAGAGAGGAGAGAGAAAGAGGGAGAGAGGGAGAGAAGAAAGAGAGAGAAGAGAGAGAGGAGAGAGAGGGAGAGAGAGGAGAGAGAGAGGGAGAGAGAGAGGAGAGAGAGAGGGAGAGAGAGGGGAGAGAGAGGGAGAGAGAGGGAGGGAGAGAGAGAGAGAGAGAGAGAGAGAGAGAGAGAGAGAGAGAGAGAAGAGAGAGAGAGAGAGAGAGAGAGAGAGAGAGAGAGAGAGAGAGAGAGAGAGAGGAGAGAGAGAGAGAGAGAGAGAGAGAGAGAGAGAGAGAGAGAGAGAGAGAGAGAGAGAGAGAGAGAGAGAGAGAGAGAGAGAGAGAGTGAGTGAGAGAGAGAGTGTGTGCGTCTTTGTGTATGTGTATGAGAGAGAGAAAGAGAAAGATAGAAAAACAGATATATATATATATATATATATATAATATATATATATATATATATATATATATAGAGAGAGAGAGAAGAGAGAGAGAGAGAGAGAGAGAGAGAGAGAGAGAGAGAGAATAAGAATGAGAGAGATGAGAGAGAAGAAGAGAAAAGATAGAGAATAAGAATGAGGGAGAGGGAGAGAATAGGGGGTTTGGGTTAGGGAGAGAAAAGAATTATGTTCCTCGACGTACAGTTGTTGCTGTATTTCTAATAGCCTATTTTTCTTTGCCAAATTACGTGTTTTAATGCTTTCTCCTCATTCTCTTCTTATTCTTTTTCTCTTTCATCATCGTTTTATCTCTCGCTGTTCTGCTTTATGTGCGAATGTCTCTGATTATCATTCTTTCTGCCGCCTCTTCCTATTCATCGGATTTCTCCTTACATGGTATTTCGGGCCAAGAACGTTTGGGTATGACGATCTGTAGGAACTTAAACTGGATATTATTATTATTGTTTCTTTTACTGCCTCAATTATTGTTATTAATGTTTTTCTTCATTTAGGTGGATTGTAGATGAATTAACGTTTCTTGTTGTAGTATATATATATATTTTTTCTGTGTCTTTAGATGAATAATGATATTTATTTATTGTTCCTCTCGCTAGCCTTTCCTTTTGACGGGCTTCCATCCGGTAAGGTTTCACGCAGATAACTTAATGGCACAAAAATCTAAAACCAAATGGCACTAGAATTTAAAATATATGTTATACATTAATTGTTTTGATCTATTATAAAAAAAAAAATATCTATGACTACCGCTGAGATCCATTAAAAGCATGATGTATAGGAAGGAAAAGGAGTATTTTGTAATTTGACAAACTTTTTTTCTTTGTAATTTTCCGCCAAGCTTTGAAATTAATGTCATTTTTTTCTCGCTTTTTTTCGTTCGTATTCTCGGATTCTCCATCAACCTCAAATCTCTCCCCCTCCCCCCCATCAAAAAAAGTCAATAAGAAAAAAAGACCAGCTCGCCGGGAACGGAGTCACAACGGTAGGCCTATAAGATAAAAATTTATATATCCAGTGCATGGTCGGTTCTCGTCAACCGGTTTCCTTGGCATGAAATTT